CCTGAAACACTGCCTCATTCCTTGCACCAAAATGGCATACAAGGCACTGTCTCTCGAAAGCTACAAGGAGCAGGTTGCTCAATTTGTTCAAACCTTTTATTTTCCCTCCAAAAGCTTCAGGCAGCCTTGCCTATAAATAAGAGGCTCCAACACATGTTTAGGAAGGACTTTTTAGCCAGAGGAACGAATCTTTAAATTTCTCAAAAGTTCTCAAACACTTAAACGCTTGTGAAAACACAAACCCATAATCCAAACACTTGTCCCCTTCGAATCTGAAACATCTTTACATCTTGTTACCCTTCGAATCCAAGGCGCTCAAGGCAACCACCTAAAGGACCAACACACATCCTAGCCTCAAGCAAGGTAAGTCATCCTTAACCTTGGATCCTTCGTTTCCAGCACAACATATAAATACAATTCCTTTTCGTTTCAAACACATACATAACATTTATTCCCCATTCATTTACACCCTTTTAGTTTATTTTTACTGCTTTTCCTTTTGGTTTTGTTCTTTGGTTTCTTACAAATGTTTCAAGAACTAACCTGGCCCTAAGGTAACATTGGCATGGCCTTAGGCCATGTTGCTATTTAATATCTCAAACTAAAGAAATAGGAGTCAGGAGTATGAAACAAAGCCTCAGGCTTCCTCGCTGATTCCAGGCCTAGACGAAAGGCACAACATGCTGGTTCCAGGCCCAGACGAAAGGCAATCCCTCACTGCTTTTAACCCCCAGTCGAAGGAGGCAGAAAGACAGATTACATCTTGCACTGGTTCCATACCCAGACGAAAGGCACAACATGTTGACTTCCAGGCCCAGACGAAAGGCAATCCCTCACTGCTTTCAACCCCCAATCGAAGGAGGTAGAAAAGAATATTACATCTTGCACTGGTTCCAGGCCCAATCGAAAGGCACAACATGCTGACCCCCAAGCCTCAGTCGAAAGTCACGCCTTCACCCCTTTCAGGCCAAATCGAAGAGAGCCAGAAAGTGAAGAATCGAAGGGTTTTCTGCCTCAATCGAAAGACCCTCATTTTTCTTGCTTTTATTTCATTTTTGCCTTTATATTTTCATGCAATTCAATATGGTTGTAATAGTGTAGGATTCCGTCTTTCTGAATTTTATTACTTTTGAATGATTGCTAGTAAAATAAGGCATATATGGCAAGATAAAAACAACAAGTAGATAACCCCTAATCAAAGACTAAATGCACGTAAATTAAACACATTATTCACACATGCACCATTAGGGTAATCCCATTTGTTGCCTTGGAGAAATAGTCACGTCCCTCGAATATGGGCGTTTTAGCAAAGATCCTCAATAAAAGATCGTAGTCCCTCGATGACCTTAATTGTTGCCTTCGATAAACGATCTAGTCCCTAAACGACATTGCTAAAACATCCCATAGGCTGCCTTCTATGATTATACAAACGTCCCATGCCCGTCCCTTCACATCCAACGACGGAGCTTCTTACCAAATCAATGGTAAGATAGCAATATCTAAAAGAGGAGGAAAAGAACACTAAAGACCTTTTGAGTAGGTATGATGCTCCTAGTTGCTCACTTGCTCACAATAAAAACATTTTATACACCAACACTTTCATTTTGAAATATTTTCAAAAGATAAAGCTTTTGTACGCGTTCTTATAGAAATGAGAACTATTACAAAGACACCTTTTTAAAATCACTTTCAAAAACACATTCCACAAACACCTCTTTGAACTATTTTTAAAACAACACTTTATACGCGCTCTTATAGAAACAAGAGTCATTACAAAGAACACTTTTCAAAATACTTTCAAAACTCATACCACAAACACATTTTCAAACAAAAACAAGTGATCTAGCAAGCAACTAAGAGCCCATAGATAATTACAGATGAAAATTGTGCTAATACCTTCCCTTTTTCATAACCCACCCCCGAACTCAAGAAATAATCTCGAAAGGTCTTTCCTGTTCTTTTCAACCTTTCCTTATTGGATAAAAGAAAAATCGGTGGCGACTCTTGCTATCCACAATAATTGCGATCAAACGCAAAACACCCAAGTCAGTTCTCCCACCGTGTTACAGCAAACTAACTTAAATTTATAAATAGAGGGAGTAACCCTTAGTTTTGTAATCAATCAAGTTGTATTCACAAAAGTTGTAGTTGCAAGTAAATAAGAAGTTTTCCACAGTTTGTGGGTAGAGAGAAACTCTGCAGAAAAATTATTGTTTCCTTTCCTTTCTTTCTTTCATAACTTTTCATTGTCATTATGTGGTGGTAATAATCTTGTTCATCAAGATTGATAAAAATTCATCATAGATTTTGGTGGATTTCTAACATCCCCTAGAGTATGTGTTGTTGTACACTGAACTGAGTTAACAATTCTGCGTGTTGTTTACTTTCTAAATTTTTAAATTGTTTATTGTGTTGTTGTTTAGAGATAGATGTCTCGACATCTCTTAGGACATCTGTGATCTGAATACCAGAATTTCACTAATATTTCTTGATTTTTCATTTTTTTTGGATAGATACTTATATTTGATAGATACATATTTTAAAATCTTAAAAATTATATTTTACAGTAATTTTTCTTTTACGAAAATAAATTACAAAAAATAATAGATAATAAAATAAATATTATAATATTTTAATTTCAAATATAAACATAAGGATATTGTTAACATGTGCCTTAAAGACGTATGTTAAGGACGTATGTTAAGAATTAAATATAAAAATTAATTGTTGAAAATTATGCATTGTTTTAATTAAAAGTTGACGATTAATATTTTTGTTGTATTTTCCAATACAAACTTTCTATTTTTAGATTTCTTAGTATTACCCTAAACATAATTTAATTTTAAGCGATATGCTTCGATCGAGTTTTTCTAAAATATTTATTAATAATAATTTAATAAGTATAGAAGAAAAGTGAGATGATGATATTTCCTCACCCTACCCAACCACTAAGATGATGTTTATTGGACCAATTGATTTATAGTTATATGGGCAGGCAGCATGAGCAACATCACGCTGATGCCAACCTTACATCAAACATTGGGTCCCACAAACAAACAAGAAAAAGGGAAGAGTTAGAATGGTTAAAATATGAGTAAGTAAATATTCCCTGTCTCAAAATGATAATCTATATAACTTTAAAAATTTGTTTTAAAATAATATTCTATTTATTTATTCAATATAATTATAATTAATTTTTACCAATTTTATCTCTTTTCAAATATAACAATGTATTACAATTAATAATAATAAAGGATAATTTTGTAAAGATATTATTTTTATTGACTCAATTATTATATTTTTCAATTTCTGTGTAATAACTTAAACGATTATATCTTTCGAACACATTTATAAGCAACAAAAATGATTTTCATAATTATTAAGAAATTCAATTAAGTGTAATTAATTTTTTAAATTTTGACGAAAACATTAATTATAATATAATATAATGTTCTCTTTATTAAATTTAATGAAACGTTGAAAAATGAAATGGAAAAATATATTAGAAATTATAATATTAGATAATTTAATAATAATTAATTTTTACTTATAATAGTGATTAAGAATTAAAATATTTTTGTTGTTTATAAATGTATTTAGAGGGTGTATTATTTTAAGACAGATGGACTATCTCTGAATTATGATGATGGTAATAGTGTGATGATGAATAGGCACGCGCAGATACAAAGAGAATATACATGATTGTATCTAAAGCACGCTCTTGTTATTTTTCTCACATTTTCCAACACCAACAATCAACCACATTTTATGCTAGAAATTGTTTCTTGTCACTCCCATTACACATAATAATATGACAAAATCACTTGATATCTTGCGTGACAAATTTATGCATTAGAATCATTACGTATCATCATGCATACCATCACTACGTGCCTGCCTGCCTTCACACTTTCGCATGCCTAATCTACACAACTTCCACGCTGTACAATCTTATCTAAACCTATTTTTATAACAACTCTTTATTAAAGGACAACTTCAACAAATTTAAGTGATGCAAATGTATCATTAAAGTAATAAATTTATGGGATTGAAGTAAGATATGAGACGTGACATAATGTTAAATGGTTAAGAATTAATACGAGAATAAAATAAGTATAGCACATATGAAGATGTTGTGTTGAATGAATAGTAATATTAGACAAAATAGAATTAAAAATGAAAATATTAGAGAGTATCAAAATAACACTTATAGTAGAAAAAATGATGAAAAATATATTTAGATAGTTTGAACATGTAAAAATAAGACATTCGAGAATAACGATTTAAATAAAAATATGATCATAAATGGAACATTATATCAAAAGTTGATCATGCAGCTGACCCGGTTGGTGAAATAGAATTTGGTTGTTGCATCTTTATTATGCTATACTATTATATACTATACATCCATGTATTAGCATTAGTGTTGTATACTAGCTCATTGAATACTACTAGTATGGTGCTTTTACTAATTACAGACAAATGCTAATGATTGTGTTTAAAGTATTAGATATTACGTTTTTAATCAAATATTAATAGTACTAGTCTTAAACAAAGTTGTTAAAACAATTACAATAACATCCAGAGTCACATTCAACGCATTTGGAGTATTGGCAGCTGTTTGATCATAACCGAATATAATATTTTAAATTATAAAACAAAGGCTAATTTGTTTTTATTTTAAATCGTTTGATCAAAATCAAACAGTTCCGAATAGTATTTCATAAGATAAGGAGTTAACTATATAAAAAAATGATGCACGCAGAGGTTATGTTATGTTATGTTTTGTATACATTGTACTTTACGAAACCCAATGAGGATTTTATTTACCTTTTTTCATGTCTCAAGCACTTCTTCCACTTTTCTAGATTTCCCACCTTTCAATTATTACCTTTTCCTTCTTATATTCTCCTCTGCATTCTCTCATTTCTCATATCCATTCCATTCATAACACACTTGCCTTCTTTCACATTCTCTTGTTCTTCTTCTCAAAGGAAAAAATGGGTGAACTAGCTTACTCAAATGGCATTAATAGAGGAAATGACAAAACCCATTCACCTCCTAATGGTTATAGGAAGAGCTGCTGGTATGAAGAAGAGATTGAAGAGAATCTTAGATGGTGTTTTGCTCTCAATAGGTACTATATTATTACACTATCAAGTTCATGTTGTTTATTTTACTTAATTACTAGTACTAGTTTACAAGGTTCATGAACAAGAAGGTTCTTTTTCATTGGGTTTGAATGAGACAAGAATAAAATATTACAACTAGTCTGCACCTAATGTCTCCCAAATTCGGAGATTTTCTGTTTCTTAAGCTACTAAAAAGATAAACAATATAGTAAAAGGTTACATGCTCTTTTTGCCTTTGGTTATGAAAAAGTTAAGCACTATGTTTGCTAAATGTTTTAATGATTCTACCTTTTTGGTGGTGGGGCTGCAGCATCTTGCATACAGGAGCTAGTCAGTATCAAGACATTGCATTGTTGGACACAAAGCCATTTGGCAAGGTAAGTTCTTAGAGTATAACACAAAGTTACCTTAACTTATAAGAAAAATATGATATATATATATATATATATATATATACATTTGCAGGCATTAGTACTTGATGGAAAGCTTCAAAGTGCAGAAACAGATGAATTTATCTACCATGAATGTCTTGTCCATCCACCTCTTCTTCACCATCCTATGTACTTCCTTTACTTTTTGATTTAATTAACTATGATCTTGCAAAGTTTAAACATAATTTCTTTATCTAATTTTAATTATATTTTCTAGGCCAAAAAATGTTTTTATTATGGGTGGAGGAGAAGGGTCTACTGCAAGGGAACTTCTCAGGCACAAGACCATAGACAAAGTTGTTATGTGTGACATTGATGAGGTATGTTAACTTTCATTTTTTTCCTCCTTTTAATCTCAAATGATTTGAAATTAATATGTTAATGTTGATGGAAGCAGGAGGTGGTGGAGTTTTGCAAATCATACCTAGTTGTAAACAAGGAAGCATTCCATGATTCTAGACTTGAAGTTGTCATCAATGATGCAAGGTTATTTTTGCTACTAAGATTAGTTTGATATTGCACAGACATTATGATAACGATCAATTCTAAAAGTTATACTTGTAATGCTACAGGGCTGAACTAGGAGGCAAAGAAGAGAGGTATGATATTATAGTTGGAGATTTGGCTGATCCAATAGAAGGAGGTCCTTGCTATAAGCTTTACACTAAAGACTTCTATGAACTCAGTCTCAAGCCAAAACTGAAGAAAGGTGGAATATTTGTGACACAGGTAAAGTGGTTCGGGATACGTTTGTCTATAATATGTATTAAAAACTTGCTTCATTATGTGAAATTGTTGTTCTTATTCCTATAATGCAGGCAGGACCTGCTGGAATATTCAGTCACACAGAAGTTTTCTCTTGTATTTACAACACCTTGAGACAAGTTTTCAAGTGTAAGTATTTGTTTAAGTAAAGTGGTAGTAATTCTAATTAAGGCTCTAAATAAGTCAAATTAATTTCTTTTTCCATGTTTGCAGATGTGGTGCCTTATTCAGCTCATGTCCCATCTTATGCTGATATTTGGGGATGGGTCATGGTAAATTTATAAACTATTGATTACCAAATTTCCATGTTTTGATGAGTTCTTAATACTGAATTTAAGATTTCTGTCATTTTTTTCTCCTTGATCTATAACAGGCTTCGGATTCTCCATTGGATCTTAGTGCTGAAGAACTAGACATCAGAATGAGACAGAGGACAAATGGAGAGAATAGATATCTTGATGGAAAAACTTTTTTGTCATCCTCGACTTTGAGCAAAGCAGTTCGTAATTCGTAAGTGAAAGACTTAAAAACTTAAGACTCTTGTAGTTGTTGGTTGTCATAAAAAATTGTTCTATAATTCTCATAGGATTTTGAATGACACTATTGTGCAGGCTAATCAATGAAACTCATGTATACACGGAGGGATCAGCTAGGTTCATATATGGTCATGGCAAGAATGCTTAACTTAGCTTCAAATAGTAAAACAAAAAGACACACAATGCAAGTTAACAAATGCTTTCAAGATATTTCGTTCATTATTATATGTATTTCCTTTCTCAAGTTCACTTTTTTTCTTCCTCTTCTATTATCCCTTGGCTTGTACTTTCACCACTCAAAAGGCTTCTAAGTGTTGTATCAATGAACAATTAATGGTTCTATGTTGTTTGTACTTCTATTTGCATATGCTCTCTATCTATACCACTTTTAAGCTCTCTATCTTGTTTAAGTGATTTTGTTTTTGTTTGTTACTCCTACTTCATACTACTTATTTGACCTATATTGAACTTGCAACATCAATCATCCTAAACTATGTACACTTTTGTATACAAGTTTAACACGATCATAATCAATTCTACACGTCTAGAATCTGCGTATACCAAAATGGAAACTGCACATATACTTCAAAAAGCAAAATATGTTTGAGAAAAGCAGTGATCATAAAATTAAATACAGGTAAAGAGTTAAGCATAATTTCTGACAGAAATAAATGTGATTATAATAAGTACATAACATGATTACATGCGCAATAAAGCAAACACCTTGAGGGTTAGAATCATCCCTTAAACATCATAAGGTTGCTTACCAGTAAACTTAACCTCAATTGGGCTAACATTCTTCCCAATAGACCTGAAATTCTGACCAACTCCTTGACGACCGGGATTAACCTTCTCTGGATAAACACCATCCTTAGGATGCAAATATTGAACTTCACCATTAGGAAAAACCCTATAAAACTGATACTTAATCTTGTACTTTGACCTTAACCTAGTTCCTAAAGCCAAACACTGTTCTTTCCTAGCCAATTTGAGAAGATTAGGACCCTCTCTCATTATAGCTGCACCACCAGTTGGCATTTCAAAAATCTGTTCTTTAGGTGATTCCCATGTGATAACATAGAATTCTTCAACTTGGGCCTTACGCAATAGTCCACCGGTGCTTCCACCGAAAATTGGGGAAGGTGTGTTTGGGTCTAGCTCAGGTGGGGTGAATCCAACTGGTGCTTCTTTTTTTGTTGCTACATCGGTTTTGTCTTCTGAAGCAGCAATTTTTGTTGTTCTTGGGGTGAATTTCATGGGTTTGAGAGAGATGAAAGATAGAGTTGATGGTTGTTTGGATGTTTTTGGAGATGAAAGTGGTGGTGTGAAGAGAGAGGCTTGTGTTGCCATTGCCATGGTGAATGAATGAATGTTGAGGATTTTTTAGTGAATGAATGAATAATACTAGTAGAAATATTTTGTATGGATTTTTAGCATTTGAATGTGTGGTGTGAGTTATGGTATATGGATAAGGTGATATGGTTTGGACCAATTGGATTTTCTGATTTTGATTCCATTGTCTCAATCTCTCACCCAAACCTCCAACATCTTTTGTCAATTTTTATCTTAGCCTTCTATTTTTAGAAAAACTAAAATAACGTTTATATATTTCAATTCATTTGATATGCAAAAATTAACTTTTTGAATTATTGTTCATTTGTTTTTATTTAAGCAAAATTGATTTTATTGGAATCGATATTATAATGTATATGTAAAGTTTATTTTAGTTTTTAAGTTACTAATATCAAAGAGATAAAATTAAATATTTTATATATTAATTACAATTTAATATTATTTTTCGTTGAAGATGTTATACTCGGGTTCATTTAGGTCTAATGACTTTGAATATGATCATTTGAGTTTTATAATTTTTCAAAAATTGTTACATTAATCTTTTCCCTTCAAATTTCACTAGCATAAATTTTCGTTGATCGGACTAATAATGTGTAAAGTTGAACTTTAGTGGTCGATTTAACAACACAAAATCGATCACTAAAAATCTTTTCTAAATTTTGATTACAATCTTCATCTTTTTCGTCAAATTTATTTTCATTTTTCATCTTCTTTATAAAACACATGACGTCAATTGCACCTAAAATGAGATCTTAAAAGTTGTGTAAAATAACAACTTCTACGTTTGTAAGTTATTACGGGAATGAGAATGAATGAAAAAGGGTCCATTAAGCTTATATTCATTGAATGCAGAAACGTTAGAAGAAAAGTTATATCATGAGAGATTAGTTTCAATATCTATATATAAGAGAGATTGGGATGTAGCTAACAATAAACCTAAGGCACAATAAGAAGCTAGCTGACTCAGAATGTTAAAATACTAAAGTTAGACCTTCAATACCCCTCATATAGATTATATGTACTTCGAGCTTAGAGATGTTTGAAGTGAAAGGCTTGAGATCCAATCCTTTTGTGAATAGGTATGCAAGTTGTTGAAATGACGATACTGACTATTGTTGTATTTTAAATTTCGTTCCTAATTTTTTTAATCATATTATCTTATTATATTTTGTTATTTTGTCACAATCATTAATAAATATTTCTATTTATCATATTTTGCATCATTAGTCGTATTTAAGTTAACTAAAAGTCAATTTAAATTGAAATTTAAATCGAAGTTTGTATCATTTTGTAGTTGAAAAATACCTGATATTTCACTTCATGCATTTTTATCTCTTTACTCGTTTTTTGTATTGCTCCAAGTTATTTACATGTCGATAATATTAATATTTCGATTTTACAAACAGACCGTTAAAAGCGATTCGATACTATGCAGAAAATTGACGAGAAAATATTTCAAGTTTTCACCTTTTACTGACCATTTTATGAATCTGCGTTTCGCATAGATTATGACGGTATGCTCGCTTCATTTTTTCGATACAATTTAAAGTCTCGTTTTAAATCGTAAGCGTTTGTTCAACCTAATATTTTTATTTTCATTTTATTTCGGTTTTGACCATTTGATTAATTTTTTATTAATCTTTGTGACATGTATTTTATTTTAATGTGTTCATTTCTTTTTTTCCGGATAGATTAATGTCATTTTTTTATCGATTTTAGTCATTTTGGATCTCTTTTTTTTATTCAAAAAATTAAAACAAAAATATTTGTGTATATGTTATTTTTTGATCGTTCAGACTTTTATGTCATTTTTATCGTTGAAGGATTTTTTGGGCATCTAAAAAATGACAAAACTAATTTTGATTTGTATATAATGATGAGATTGAGATTTGTATTGAGGGAGCGATTGAAACCAAATTGAAAACGCAGAGAACAAAATTGAATCTCTTCTCTCATAACCTTCTGATTTCTTCATCATTTTTTACCTCCACACTAAACTCGCGACCTTCTATCCTCTGTTCACTATCCCACCACCATCTCGTTCACAAACTAAACCCACTGTGAACAAAACACAAACCGCTCCGTTTCTACACAACAGCTACTCCCATCACCGATTCCTCTCCATTTCAAGGCGCAGCTTTTACTCTAAATTTTCCTCCACACACCCGAACAAATTCCTTCATATACTCCCTCTACCTTCGCCCCTCAGCGCATGTACAAATCATCACCTTGCTTCCACTCATTTCCATTCTTTCTCTCATCCATACTCCTTCTCGGGTCACGTAATCACCAACATCATCTACATCCAAACAACATACTTTCGTCAGCCACATACTATTCTGCTCATACTCCAATTCTTCCCGAATTGCCTTCATACCATTTCACAACGTTCGCTCACACTTCAATACTCCTCTGTTACATACCATTCCACTGTTAGTCGCCTCCATACAACTTTCCCTCATCGTTCCGCTTCAGCTCATGCTTCAAGCCGACAACCATCCAAACTTCTGCCTTCTCACCGTCAAAGGAACATTACCTTCAACCTCACGATTCACGGAACTCGCCCTTCTTCCCATCACCTTCATTTGTGAGCTGCTACTGCAGCGAAACACTAACTTCATCATGTATTCCCTCCGTCTGATTCTGTTCCGGCTCTCCATCTTCCTTCGAACAAGTAACTGATCCCCACATCACTCTCCGCATAACATGTTTATCCCCTTTTCTTTGTTCCATTTTTATTAGTTTCAATTTTCATTAATAAACTACCAAGTGTTGCATTCTCATTGGTTATGGACTTAAAAATCAAAATGACATAGCTGAGTACTTTACAGTAGCATCGCCCCACCCTTACTTTACTCATCACAATTTTCTTTAATTTCGTTTTTAATTATGCTTTATTTTAGGAGTTTTTTTATCTATTTAGTAAATTGGGTTTTATCTCTATAATTTAATGTTTGTTTATTGCACCCCAGGATTCAATTTACACCTCCCTTATATTAGATTTTTGTAAAAATTGTAAACAAATTAAGTAGTGTTGCTTATTTTATAGTATTGCAGTGCGATTTCAAAGTTAATTCTAATTTATCTCTTGAACACGTATGGATGCATAGACTTTATTGATCGACCTCAAAATAGGTGCGACTTCTATATAAGTCCACTTACGATTGCTTAACATAGGGCTAAATTTTGTCCCGATTCATGAAATGATTATTCGTGGCCCAAACCCATGCTTGTAAGCCCAAGTATGTTAGTTTGAATCCTTTGATCCAATAACCTTGAGATTCATTGTTAGGAGGCTTTGGTCTTATCAATCCTCTAATGAATCTTCATAAGCTTTGGTCAAAGTGAATTACTTAAATATCGTTGATCATTTATTGTCGCCTCGAGAATTTTAAAATGAATGATATACTTGAAAAAAAGCAAATGATACTTGTTGTTGAGAGGCTTTGGTTTTATCAATCTTCTAATGAGTTTCAAATGCAAGTTTCAAGATGATAATTCAACTAACCTCTAATTTCTAACAATTGACTTTATTTTATGCTTTTACTTTATGTTTTTTACTTTAAGCACATTTATTTTAGCATTTACATATCATGCTATTTTCATCTATGCTCAATTGAGCATTTATCTTTATGTCATTTTCTTTATTTTCTTCATTTGAGATTTCATTTTCTTTTTGAAGATACCTACTTGAACAATAAAAAACTTTAAGGTTGCTTGGACTCTTTGTTTACTATCCTTGACATTTTGGAGTTATGGACTTCTTGGACTTAGGATTAGAGACCTTGACCTATC